CAACCTTGCTTGCTGGAAGCAAAGAGGACTTAAAATACTTGATGATGAAGACCAAAGCCTTCAATACGGATCATACCTCAATATAAAGAAAAGAAAAATCCTCATAACTGGACTAATAAATAGTGTGATAAACAGAAAAAAGATACAAGTTGTCAAAGACTTATATTTTGCTTGGATCAACAATCAATACTCAAGGAAATAGCAGTCAAGAAATCAAACGATGTATTGCATTAGGCAAATCTGCTGCAAAAGAGTTCTTTAACGTGCTAAAGAGGAAAGATGTCACTTTGAGGACTAAAGTCCGCCTGACCCAACCTGTAGTATTTTCAATCACACCATACGCATGTGAAAGTTGGACAATGAATAAGGAAGAACAGAGAAGAATCAAAGCATATAAATAATGTTGGCAAAAAAAAAACTTGAAAGTACCATGTCTTGTTAGAAGTACAGACAAAATGTTGCTTAGAAGTGAGGATGGTGTTGTTTGGACTTGTCAGGAGGGCTCAGTCACTAGAGGAGAACATCATGCTTGGTAAATGAATGAGGTTCATTCAATGAAAACAGGAAGACCTTAAAAAAGATGGATTGGCACAGTGGCCGCAACAGTGGGTTCCAATGTAACAATTGTAAGGATGGCACAGGACTGGGCAAGGTTTCAGTCTGCTGTGCAAAGGGTCACTCTGAGTCAGAACTAACTCGACAGTAGCTAATAGCAACAGGGCACAGAATGAATAAAGATGACTACAGAAGAGTTGATGCCTTTGAATCGTGGTGTTGGTGAAGAATACTAAATATACCATGGGCTGCCAGAGAATAGACAAAGCTGTCTTGGAGGAAGCACAGCCAGAATGTCTCTTAGAAGCCAGGATGGTGAGACCTCATCTCATATACTTTGGACATATTATCAGGAGGGACCAGTCCCTGCAGAAGGAAATCAGGTTCAGTAAAGCAGGAGGTTAGCAAAAAAGGAAGATCCTCAATGAGATGAACTGGCACAATGGTTGCCAAAAGGGGCTGTGAGGCTGGCATGGGGCCAGGCAGTGTGTCATTCTGTTAGAACTCACACTTAGAACTCGATGACACCTAACAACAACAGGGCCTCGTACAATGATACCAGTTAAAAATGAACACCCATATCTCACTGATCTTGGTCTCTAAGTGTCATTTAAAAAAAAAAAAGAAAAAGAACTAGGGCTTTTTAGGTAACTGCTAGAGCTGAGTCCGAGAGACTACAAGATATGTTTGAAACATCTGTAGGGCTAGAAAGGTAGTATTCACAAAATAATGAAGCATGTGAAAAACACAAAGGAGGCAACTTGAAAGAGCTCCCAGTGGCTAAAGCAGGGACAACTTGAGCAAAATAAACAATATTTGTTTATAACCCATTGTTGTTGTTAAGCACCATCAAGTCAGTTCCAACTCACAGTGGCCCTGTATAGGATTTCCGAGGAGAAGCTAGTGGGTTTAATCTGCCGACATTGTGGTTCGCAGTCCAGTGCTAATCCAACAGTACCACACTAGGCATCCCCATAACCCACAGAATTCAATAAATATCCATGAACCACTGTGAAAAATAATTCAGTAATAAAGAGTGACTGATTATCCTTACAGCAGAATGGATAAATGTCGTGGGAGTCAGGGAAACGCCAGTTCGACATCAGACAAACACCGTGGCCATCATCCTTGCATGATGATGATGTAAGAGCAATGGATGGATGGATGCTAACATTCATGCTGTGTGCTGCTGTCAATTCTGAGTGACAGCCACTCCAATGTGACAGAGCAGAACTGTCCCACCAGGTTTCCAAGGCTGTCCTGGTGTGGCGCTGTGGGTTACTGAGCCAGACTGCAAAGCCGTTTGAACTGCAAAGTTGGCAGTTCAAGCTCACCAGCTGCTCCTTGGAAACCCTATACAGGGTGGCTATGGGAAGGAACCAACTCCAGGGTACCTAACAATAGTGATAATCATGGTCCTGAAACACTTGTCTTGATCATTTTGTTCAGTACCCAAAAGGAGCTCCGGAAGCGTAGTGGTTACGAGTCGAGCTGCTAATCCCAAGGTCAGCAGTTTGAAACTACCAGCTGTTCCATGGGAGAAAGATGAGGCTTCTGCTCCTGTAAGGATTTACAGCCCTGGAAACCCAATGCAGGGTCTCTATGAGTCAGAACTGACTCCACAGCACACAACCACCACCACCACCAATTTTAATGAGGGGACTGGCTCTGTAGAATAAACACTAGATTGCTAATCAACCACAGGGTCAGCGGTTGAAGCCCATCAGCTGCTCCTTGGGAGAAAGATCAGGCTTTCTGTTGCCACAAAGATTTGCAGCCTCGAAAACCCTATCTAGGGTCACTATGAGTCAGAACTGACTTAACGATATTTTAAAACAACAATCTTGATGAAATCAAGTTGTCGAGTCTCTCTCCTATGGTGGGTTTGAACAACCATATTTTTGGCTAAGTGAAAATATGTTGATGCACAAGATAACTGCAGTCTCTAAATACCTCCCCCTCAAGATGTTAGATTAGAAACTTTACAGTGGCGAAACTTCCAGGCACCACTAAAATCAAACTGTCATTGCAAACAGGAGTCTCACACAGCAACATACCCCCTCCCCCACTGGATGCATCTCAAAAAGTAACCGTTACTCCGGGAATATTGTTAGGTGCTGTCGAGTCGGTACCGACTCATACAGGGTTTCCGAGGAGTGGCTGGTGAGCTTGAAGCACCGACCTTGCGGTTCAAACCGACTTTGCAGTCCAGCGCATTAACCCGCCGAGCCACACCAGGAATCCCGGAATACTTTTATGTAAAATGAATAATCTTACATGAGAAAAACCTCACATCTACCTGGTACAAATGGTTAAGCACTTGACTACTACCCAAAAGGTTGGCTATTCAAACCCACCAAGAAGCTATAAGATAAGTGCAGATCTGCTGCCACAAGTTCTTAGCCCTGAAGACTCTGAGGCAGTTCTAATTCTGCACACATTGGGTTGCCATGAAGAGGAGGCAACTAGGAGCCACCACACCAAAAATTCAGGGCACACTCTTCCATATTCAAGCATCATCACAACGGCCCACCCAGAGGAGCTTGCACCTTGTAGATGACTTCCTAACGCCTCTGGAATCGGGCAGGAAACCTTCCCACACAGGGACATCCAAAGAATTCCAACTCACAGCGACCCACAGGTCAGAGTAGGGTTCCAAGTCTGTACGGGAGCAGATAGCTCCATCTTCCACCTAAAGAGCAGTTAGTAAGTTTGAACCACCAATTTTACGGTTAGCATCCTAATGATTAACCCACTGCTCCAACAGCGATGCTTCAACTACTCATAGTTAATTTCCCCGCCCGCCTCCCCTTCTTCCACTAGGGAGACACTGCGCTGAAGACACGCCCCTTACGGCGCATGCGCACTAGATGCCCCGAAAAGCCTCTTCTCCCGAGGCAAAGATACACGGAAACGACGTTCAGTCTTTTATGACTAATGGCGACCGGCTGGTAACCAACCCAAACACTTCCCCTCTTGTTACCGAAGCCACCAGAAACTCGCCGGATTCTGGCACCTGAGACCATGGCTGAGGGGGGGTGCACATGCGCACACGTAGGCTTGGTTGACTCCCAGCAGCCACCGAGGCGCGCGGGCGGTGCTGGGAACTGAGGTGGTGCTTCCGGTTTAGCCGGAAGTAGGGCGACCTTGGTCGCCCGCGGTTGGTCATAGGTTTTGGAGCGGTTTTCTTCGAGGCGTCGTGTTGCCTGGGCCGTTTAAAGGTTCGGCTGTGCTGGCGAAGGGTGGCCGCGGTGTGGGGCGGTTGCGAGGAGAGGTCACCGCCGAGAGATTGGTGTCTCCGGGTCTCTGCGGGATGGCTGGACCCGACATCTAGACCCACGTGTGTGTGTGAAGTTTGCTGGTGTTGGGACCTGTGGAATCGATTTCCACCCACTGTGACTGGAACAGCCCCATAGGGTTTCCTAGGTTGTGATCGTCTGGGGGAGCCCTGGTAGCACTGAACTGCTTAACTGCTAAATCGGCAGTTCAAACCCACCCCTGCTCTGTGGGAGAAAGATGAGGCTTTCTGCTCCAGGGTCGCGATGAGTCGAAACAGACATGATGGCCGTGGATTAATCTTTAAGGAAACAGATCCTTTGCTCTTTGTTCTGTGGTACTACTGGGTGGGTTCGAACTGCCAACCTTTAGTTATGTGCCAGTGAAGTGATTTGGACTCAATGTGACCCGATAGAACTGCCCATAGGGTTTTCTTAGTGGTAATGTTTTGGGGAGCAGATTACCTGGTATTTCTTCCACGGAGCCATTAATGGAGTCCAACTACCCACCTCTGGTTAGCAGCCGGGTGCTTAGCCATTGCACCACCCGGGCTACTTGTGTGTGCATGTTTTTGTTTCTAAGTGCTTTCCAGTTGGTTCCTCAATACTGACAGGGTCACTATTGAGTATAGCAACTGGTGGATTTGAACCACCAACTTTGTTAGCAGCTCAATGCTTATCCTACAGCACCACACCAGGCTTGTGTGTGCCTAGGAAATATTTTTAAAGTAATTTATAGTAATTCTATCATAGAATAGGAGACTGAGGTGTTGAAAAAGGACCTATTAGATAGTCTGGAAGGTGATGGGGTGCCGCATATGGTTAAGCACACCGTTACTAATGAAAAGGTTGGCTCTTTGAACTCACCCGGTGCCTGGAAGACAGATCTGCCTTTCTGCTACCCAAAGCTCTCAGCCTTGAGAACTCTATGGAGCACAGTTAACTGGCAGCTAACAACAGCAACATGTTTGGAAACAAACATTGTATATATTTAATAAGTTAATTTGATGGTGAGGTTTTTCTCTCTTGGAGTTTTTACATGGATATGGTTGAGAAAGGGTAGCAGTGAGTTCCAGAGCCAAGTCTCTTAAGTGTGTTTTCTTCTCAGCTCTGCACTTTTGAGGACTTCGTTCTTCTACAAGAGTGGGCCCCCAAAAGTGGGAATTAGCCATGGCACAGGTAAGTGAGAACACTTACCCTGTTCCCTGTGGCACTTGCTTGGTTGAACAGACTGACGTAGGAACAAGACCCTGGTAGTGTTTCCATTTCCTCCGGAGATCAGTCTCTGTCTCCTGTGTGTTAGGTGTTCATTGGTTCATTCACCAGCTATTCTGAATCTCCACTCTGTCCAGTCTCCTGCTAAGCACCTTTTGTTTTCCAGTTGAACAAATAAGTTTTTATCTGGACACTGTCATCTTTTTGAAGTGGAGATGATTGATTCCTCAGTCATCTTTGATTTTCTTCACAGCCTTGAGATTGAGAAGAAGCAAGGTAGAAACTGACATGGGTTGCCCTTGATCCTGTTACTGACACTGTCTTTGGGCAGTGTTGGGAGTAGGATTGTGACAGGTGTCTTAGGCATAGAATTCCAGGTTAATGGGTTCCAGGCATTTACCAAATTTTCACACAAATAACACACTCATACAGGTTTGTTTGCAAGCTGCACAATCGCCTCGAAAGTTCATTTCCTGCGTGTTATATGTGGGTGCACATGACTTCCATGGATGTGCTACATGCAAAAATCTGTACTAGGGTACCAGTGAAAGACGAAGTGTGGAAGACAGCTCCAGCTTGAGATTGGACAGCTTGAACAATCAGGCATCCTCTGTGGAACTCAAGGAAATATCCAGATGGCTTTGTATAAATGAGGAGTCGAGGAGGTGTGGTATGAAGAAGAAGATAGGTGGGTTAGTTATGACCTCTGGAGTGGGGTTCTATACAGCAAGGTTGCGTGGGCCCAGGAGCTCGATGCAAAGTACAATCAGATTTGATTCTTTCTTAGCCAATTAAATTGCCAATAAGTATTATACTTTGGTGGGGGGAAATATATATATATATTTATTTATAGAGGTTCTAATCTCTAGCCTTCTGATGCCACTGCACTCCCAGGGATCCTTTCACTATGGGGCAGTTCTGATCTGCATGTAGGGTCGGTGTGAGTCACAAGTCAGCAGACACAACAAGGCTATGGAAACCAGTCTTACACTTCTGTTACAAAGTTGTTTTGAATGCCTGGATTTGCATAATCTCCTAGTAATACATTTAAGAACTTGGTTTTCTTAATCATCCTGTTTATTATAGATTTTCCCCTATCATTCAGTATTGACTACAGCCAAATCTTAGTGAACAAATGGTATTTTGCTTCATTTCCCTTTAATGATTTAAGTCAAATGCTCTTGTGAGAGAGCGCCCTGATCTCCTTAATCATAATCTTCCAACTTCTAAGCTTTCATCCTGGGCTCTTTTCAGAAAGTCTTTGTCATTTCAGGAATCAGTGACATTCGAAGATGTTTCTGTTGACTTCTCCCTCGAAGAGTGGGGATTTCTGAACCCTACTCAGAGAGATCTGTACAAGGCTGTGATGTTGGAGAACTATCGGAACCTGGTCTCCCTGGGTCAGTGCTTTCCCTCTGTCCTGGGGTGTATTTTCTTTTGGGGATCTTTGGTGAGCTTCTTCATTTCTATGGAATGTGAAAGTGGGACTGAACAGCTTCATTAGTCCTACAATCAAATCTTTGTCTACACTTCTGTAAAAAAATGTTGATGATAGGTTCTATATTGACTACCTTGTTGTGTCGTCAAAATTGTTGAACAACCAAAGCATGGCCAGTTCTGCTTATTTTTACAGGATTTTCCATTTCTACGCACGATGTGATTTCACTGTTGGAACATGAGGAAATGCCATGGATTACAGAGAAAGAAGAGACAAAGGGCCCATGGCCAGGTAAGGGGAACCAAATAGAGGCAAACAGTATATATCCAAAGTTAGCATATCATAGACGGTTTTGCACCTTTATGCTTGGAAAGATGTGATCACCTACAAGCTGCTTTTTAAAGCACAACTCTTGGTCTCTCTTCACCTGAAGCAGCCGAAGAAGTAGAGTCAGAAATTAGAGGGGGTATAGAATGTGTGATTCATTGCCTTCCGGAACAAGTTTCTCCTTTGCTATGAGACCAGAAGAACTAGATGGTGCCCAGCTGCCACTATTGAGCATTTTGATAAAAGAGTCTCTAGAAGAACCTGATGAAAAGCAAGAATAGAACTTTGCCAGACCATTCCCCTGTATTTGATTATCTACAGAAAACTGTTAATTACATGTGATATTAATGATACTGTGGGATGATTTCCACATTCCCTTGGGTCTCCTTTCTATGGAATGGGCACAGATATGAATCTGTTCCAATTAGTTGGCCAAGTAGCTACCTGTCTTCCAAATTTCTTGACATACATGAGTGAGCAACCTGCGGCACTGTTTGTTGAAAGATTTCAGTTTGTATTCTGTCTGTTCCTGGAGCCTTGTTTATTTCGGCCAGTGCTTTCAATGCGACTTTCATATGGTACCTCTTGAAATAATTGAATACCAACCAATTCTTTTTGGTATGGTGACTCTGTATATTTCTTCATCTTCTTTGGATATTTCCTGCATCGTTCAAAATTCTTGAATCCATAGAATCCTTCCGCAGTATTTCAAGTCGAGGCTTGACTTTTTTCTTCTGTTCTTTCAGCTTGAAAAATGCTGAGTGTGTTTTCCCCATTGACTTTCTAACTAACTTCAGGTCTTTACATGTTTCATTATATCATTATAGTACATTACTTTGTCTTCTTAAACTGTATTGTGACGTTTTCTGTTCAGCTCTTTTACTTCATTTCTTCCAGTTGTTTTGACTTCACTACATTCAAAAGTAAGTTTCAGAGTCTCTTCTGACATACATTTTGGTCTTTTCTTTTTTTCCTATCTTTTTAATGACCTTTTGCTTTCTTCTTGTGTGATGATCTTGATGTCATCCCACAACTCTTATGGTCTTTGGTCATTAGTGTCTAATGCATCAACTCTGTTCTTGAGATGGTCTCTAATTTCAGATGGGATATACTCAAGGTCATAAGGAGCTCTGATAGCGCAGTGGTTACGAATTGGGCTGCGAACCACAAGGTCAGCAGTTCGAAACTACCAGCTGTTCTACAGGAGAAAGTTGTGGCTTTCTGCTCCCGTAAAGATTTATAGCCTCAGAAACCCTGTACAGGGTTGCTATGGGTCGGAACCGACTCCACAGCACTTAACAACACCAACATACTCAAGATCATGTATTGGCTCTTGTGAACTTACTTTAATTTTCTTCAGCTTCAGCCAGTACTTGCATCTGAGCGCTTTATCACGTGTTCCACAGTCAGCCAGTGTCCTTGCTTTTAGCTGATGATACTTCCCTATTGTCTCTTACCACAGTTGTGGTCAGTGTGTATTCCATATGGTGAGATCTACTTACATCTGTAGTCACTGTGTCACTGTGTATGGTGTTGGAAAAGATACTTGTAATAAGTTACTGGTCTTGAAAAATTCTATCATGTGATCTTCAGCATCTCTCATCAAGGCCATGTTTTCCAACTACTGATCCTTCCTCTTTGTTTCCAACTAAAGTATTCCAGTCACCAGCAATTATGAATGAATCTTGATTTTAGGTTTGATCAATTTCAGACTGAAGAAATTGGTAGAATTCTTTAGTTTCTTCATCGTTGGCTTTGGTAATTGGTAAATAACACTAATGAATTTATACCAGTGGTATTTACCAGTCATCCTTGTAGACATATGGATATTATCCTACCACAGACAACATTGTATTTCATGGTATATCTTGAAATGTTCTTTTTTTATTTTGAATGTGATGCCATTCCTCTTTAATTTGTTGGTCCTGGCATAGTAGGTCATGTGATTAAATTAAAATGACCAATTCCAGTCTATTTCAGCTCACTATTGCCTAGGGTATCGATATTCATGTATTCCATTTCATTTTTGACAACTTACAGTTTTCCTAGATTCATGCTTCATACATTCCATGTTCCATTTATTAGTAGATGTTTGCAGCTATTTCTCATCAGTTTGAGTTGTGCCTCATTAGCAAATGATGGTCCCGAAAGCTAGAGCCCTTCTCGTCATCACTGTGCTCTGAAGAGTCAGTACTTTCCTTCTACTCTTCCTGAGGTCTCCAGAGGCTAACCCTTCAGAAGTGGTCGGCCTCCTCCTTCCTCCAGGGTCTTAGTCTGCCAGCTCCGCTGAAACCTCCCCAGCACGGTTGACCATTGTGGTACTGAAAGTACTTGTGGCATGGTCTCCATTGTCACAGTGGCCCACAGGCTGCCATAGCAGGACACAGGACAAGGGACACGGGACAAGGGAGTGGTGACGAGAAGCCCAGCCTCAGGGTGTCACTTCTGGGGGGAACTCTTGGTTCCTTGTATCTCATGAGACAGTGATTTCAGACAACTACACTGTTACTCCCTTACTGACTTAACAAAGGCCCCTTCCCAGATTGGAATGTTATTGTTAGGTGCCATCAAGTCGGTACCAACCCATAGCGACCTTATGCACAGCAGAACAAAACACTGCCTGATTCTGGGCCAACCTCATTACTGTTGCCACGCTTGAGCCCACTGATGCTGCCACTTGGCCAATCCATTTCATTGGGGATCTTCCTCTTTTTCTCTGACCCTCCACCTTACCAAACATGATATCCTTCTCCAGCAACTAGTCCCTCCTGACAATATGTCTGAAGTATGAGAGACGTCGTTTGGCCATCTTGGCCTCCAAGGAGCACTCTGGCTGCACGTCTTCCAAAATGGATCTGTTGGTTCTTTTGGCAGCCCATGGCACTTTCAGTATTCTCCTCCAACACCATAACTGAAAGGCATCCGTTCTTCTCCGGTCTTCCTTAGTCACTGCCCTGATTATTGTTAAGTGCTATTGAGTTAGTTCTGACCCACAGTGACCCTGATAGGGGGTTTCATAGAGCAGATGGTAGATTCAAACACAGTCTTGTGGTTCGCAGTCCAGTGCTTATCCTACAGAGCCACCATATGCCCCAGACACAGTTGTAAGGGTGAGGCTTAGCAGTACATATTTTGGGACACAGTTCAGTCCATGTTGGTACCCCCGTAAGCAGGTCTTTCTCAGGAGAGCAGCCTCCGGCCTGCTACATCAATCAGTTGTACTTGCACACCTTGGTTTGTGTAAAATTGTAGAAACTTACAGTGGCTTTATGTTTGAGTGGGAAAATTAAGACTTGTTTCCCAAACCTTGCTCAAAGTGGAAATTGTTATTGTTGTTGTTAAGTACCGTAGAGTTGGTTCTGACTCATAATGACCCTATATTTACAAGGCTGTAAATCTTTACGGGAACAGAAAGCCTCATCCTTCTCCCGCGGAACAGCTGGTAGTTTGGAACTGCCGACCTTGAGGTTAGCAGCCCAATTCGTAACCACTATGCGATTGAAATTGGGCGTGCTGACTTGTGGGAGTGTATAGAATTTTCATTTAGGATCTCAGTGACGCCTCAGTTACAGGAAGTGAGGAAATGAAGCATTTTGTGATGTATTAAGGAACTGTTGTCAGGAGGGACCAGTCTTTGGAGAAGGATATCATGTTTGATAAGGTAGAGGGTCAGAGAAAACGAGGAAGACCCCCAACGAGATGAATTGGCAAAGTGGCAGCATCATTGGGCTCAAGCGTGGCAACAATAGTGAGGTTGGCCCAGGATCGGGCAGTGTTTCGTTCTGCTGTGCATAAGGTTGCTATGGGTCGGTACCGACTCGATGGCACCTGACAACAACAAGGAACTGTTTGGGATTAAGGCAGAATCTGAAGTTTGACAAAACTGTATCTATCCGAGTAGAAATTCATCATGGAAAAGAATGTGTATTTCATGTGTTCTGGTGATTAAGCCGTAAAACATGAAAGCACTGGATTGCAGAGAAGGATTCATTCGTTGGTAATGTGAAAAGACAGGATGCTTGGTGGTACTGTGTATGAGGCACTTGATCGCTAACCAGAAAGCTGGTGGTCTGAACCACTAGCTGCTCCGTGGGAAAAACATATGGCCGTTTCCTTCTGGGAAGATTATACCCTTGGAAAATCTATGAGATCATTCTAGCCTGTTCTATAGAAACACTACGAGTCAGAATCTACTTGAAAGAATGAATTTATTAGGAAAAGAAGAAAGCCCTGTGTTATTTTGATAAGTAGTGTCTAGGTTTAAAAGCTTGTGTGTGACCATCTAAGCTGTAACTATTGGCCTCTCTTCTTATGGAACAAAAGAGATGAAAGAAATCCAAGGACATACCGCCCACCGCACAGGCAGCACAGCCTCTTCTGGGCTGAGACCAGGAGAATTAACTGGGACCTGACCACTACTGCCAGCCCTTCTGACTAGGGACACAGTAGAGTGGGAGGAAAACGGAGACTAAAACTCAGATTCCTAAAAAGTGCCACACTTAATAGACTATTGATAAAGGTCAGAGGAATCCCAGTGACTACCATCCTAAGTAAGACACCCTATGAACTTGAAATTGAAGCTTTTTAACCAAACGATCGTTTTCCCATTAGAACCACAAGAAATCTAACAATAATATTGCGTTTGACAGATCTGTTACAAAACATCTCTTTGAGGCATTAAAAATCAAAGATGTTACTTGAGAACTAAGGTGCACCTGAACCTAAGCCATGGTATCTTCAGTGGTCGTCTATGCATGCAAAAAGTGAACAGTGAATAAGAACCGAAAAAGCACTGGTGTATTTAAATATTTATCAACTTTCACTATTTTATTTTCTGACCTTTTGCCTGCCTTCATCCCCTAAACAGTCAAAGCATGCAGACTGGAAGGACACCCTGCTATCCTTGGTGGGAACCCTGTTACCGCCTTAATTTTCTGTTTACATTGATCAGCTTCCTTACGATTTTGCATGGTGTGTTGTCAGTTTCCCTTCTGTCATCACTTCACTGCCTTATTTTTACTGTTTACCTCAGCCACTGCTCAGAAACCACGTACAGGCTCCTATGAGTCGGAACCGACTAGGCGGTTCTGAACAACAATGGTTTCTTTAATTTTGGAACATCAGTATCACAAGAGAGTCCTAGTGTGGCCATGTAAGATAAACCCACCAGCCACTCCTTGGAAACCCTATGTCAGCACTGACTGGCCAGCACATAACAACAACAGCTTATAACTAAGAACCCGTAGCCTGGTTTGCTTTTATCTTATGCTTCCCCCCCGCCCCCTAGCCCCATGTTGCAATTTTAATATTGCTTTTATATTATGTCCATTTTTTCTTTGTATTATCATTTGAGATTCATTTTCTATCCCAAGTCTGCACACATTAATTCCTCAGGCACATACCTGAGCTTCATATGTTGTTGTTGTTAAGTGCCGTCAAGTCGGTTCCGACCCATAGCGACCCTGTACAATAGTAAGTTTTTTAGTAGCTGAGTGGTACCCCAAGTACAGATGTACCATGAAGGCAACTTAGCTAATGCCCAGTAGGAACCTATTGCAAAGTGTTCCTATTAAAGCTGGCATCGGCATCTCTGAAACAGTCCTAGTGGGATCAGAAGTGTAAAGAAACGTGCTTTCAGTTCATTTGCCTGCACTTGTTTTGTTTTCTTGCTGTTCTCAGATAAAGAGACGTGTGGGAAGATTAAGGAGTTGTACACAGAAAGGGAAATTAATGAAGTATTGTCTCATTGTGACACTGTAATAAAACATACAGAAAACATATGGAGGCAACGTGGCAAGGTTTCTTGTCACCGCACTCAACCTAATTTCCATCTAAAAAGACAAAATGGACGAATATGCAACCAGTGTCTAGATTGTGGGAAATACTTTAAACGTCGCTCTGCTCTTGTTCTACATCAGAGAATCCATACTGGGGAGAGACCTTACCCGTGTAAGGAATGTAGTAAAGCTTTCCTTCAGAAGGCTCATCTCAGCCAGCACGAGAGAATCCACACAGGCGAGAAACCCTACACTTGTCAAGACTGTGGGAAAGCCTTCAGCCAGGTGGCGCATCTCACTCAGCATCACAGGACTCACACCGGAGAGAGGTTCCACGAATGCGGTCAATGTGGCAAGGCCTTTGGTAATTCCTCAGCCCTGATTAACCACCAGCGAATTCACACTGGAGAAAAACCCTTTGAGTGTCAGGAATGTGGCCGAGCCTTCTCTCAAAACTCACAGCTTACTAGACATAAGAAAATTCATTCCGGAGAAAAACCCTACGAATGTAGTAAGTGTAAGAATTCCTTTGTGCGCCTTTCTTCCTTGACTGAACATCAGCGAATTCACACTGGAGAAAAACCGTATCAGTGTAAGGAATGTGGGAAGATCTTTACCCGGGGCATGCAGCTGACCCTGCACAGGAGACTCCATACAGGTGAGAAACCCTATGTGTGTCAGGACTGTGGGAAAGCCTTCATCTGTAGGTCCCACTTTGTCACTCACAGGAGAAGCCATACAGGAGAAAGACCCTACAAATGCCCCGTGTGTGGGAAAGCCTTCAGTACCTGCTCTTCGGTTGTCACTCATAAGAGAACACACAGTGGAGAGAAGCCCTTTGAATGCCCTGTGTGTGGGAAAGCCTTTAACACGTCGTCTTCACTTTGTCAACATAAGAGGATTCACACAGGAGAAAAACCCTTTGACTGCCTTGTATGTGGGAAGTCTTACAGATGCAGGTCAAACCTCACTCGACATCAGCGAGTTCATACTGTAGAATATTAAACTAACTGAACTTTCAAATGTTACATTTCTGACTCTGTTTTTGTTGTTAAGTGCTATCGAGTCAGTTCCAACTCAGCGACCATGTATAGGATTTCCAAGGAAAAGCTGGTGAGTCTGAACTGTTGGCTTTGTGGTTAATAGTTCAGGGCTTATTCTACAGTGCCACACCAGGACTTAGACTGCATTTGTAGGTAGATTAAAAAACAATTTATTCATATCTTAAGGGGTCACTGAATGAATGGAACAGCAGTACATGTAAAAGCATTGCAATGCAGTGAATTGTATCCACCACCCCACAAAAAACGCATCACCTGACTCAGCTGTAGCATTTTCAGTTGCCTCCTATTTATGAGAAAGATGGACAATGCGTAAGGAAGAGGACTGGGAGAATCGATGCATATGAATTATGGTATTGGCAAAGAATATTGAGTGTACCAGGGACTGCCAGAGTAATACAGTAACCTGTCTGGGAAGAGGATAGCGAGAGTTCGTCTCATGCTCTGTGAACGTGTATCAGGGAGAACCAAGGATATACACTGGCACAGTGGGTGCAACGATGGGCGCATACATCACAACTGCTGTGAGGAAGTTGTAAGACTGGGCAGTGTTTCATTCCATTTTGTGTAGGGTCAGGGTGAATTGGTGCTGACTCACTGGCGGCAGCCCACTGCAAGCCTCCTGCACTGTGAGAGAGGGGGTCTCTCTGAAAGCCATCCCACCCACTTGTGATGTCTCTGCTGCAGGAGCACCACGCAGCAATTCTAACACAGATGTGGGTCAAGTCTAGTGCTTACCAGGAGACGGGGTGGGGAAACAGAGTCTCTGTTAGTGGAATTTGGAAAACTAGTAAAGGCTACAAAACAGGATGACCCTAATCAACGTAATTGAATTGCATAAATAAAATTTGCTGAAACTCACAATTTAAGTGTAGGGGTAAGCATTGGACTGTTGACTGCAAGGTTAGCAGTTCAAGCGCACGATACAGGGTGGGTTTGAACCACAGGGTTGGTGGTTCAAATGGACCAGCTGCCTTCCTTTTGCCTTATTAGCAGTAAACATTTTTGCTACTTTTGAACTCTCATAGCTCTACTGATTATTAGATGGTTCCTGTCCCGTTTCCATGGCGATGATTAGAGACAACCCCCTTTATTATTAGGTAATAACCATTCCTGTCCCGTTTCCATGACGGATGAAATAGAGACACAACCCCCTTTATTATTAGGTAATAACCATTCCTGTCCCGTTTCCATGATGGATGAAATAGAGACACAACCCTCTTTCAGCCCTGTACTTCAGGCTGTCCCTCTCGATTACTGTTGCAACCCGATTCTCACCTGGGGACATTCGGCGGATGGTCCAGTGCATAAATGGCCGACTGAGTCAGCAGTGGAAACTCACCAGGGGCTCTGAGCGAGAAAGATGGGATAATCTGCTTCTGTGAAGAAACAGCTTTGGAAGCCCTCTGAGATGTTCTGTTCTGTCCTGTGTTGTTAGGAACCTGTATAGGACTTCCAAGGAGCCGCTGGTAAGCTTGACCCCCGACCTGGCTGTTAAAACCCACTTTGCAGTCCAGCATTAACTGGCAAGGCCACACCAGGACTCCATTCTCTTCTGTAGAGTCTGTCCGTTGGGATTGACTCTGGGTTTGGGGGATGTTAGAGACATTTGTTTTGCTGCCACACTTGGAGAGTACAATTGACTTGTGGTAGTTTTTTTGTTCTTAATGTTTTACTGTGAATTATGTGATAGTTTACATGGGAGAACATTAGCTTTGCATTCATCCTATCTTACATTGTTTCATCGCCATGGTTACAATCCCCTCCATGCATCATCAACCAACCAAAGGGTACACCCTGCAAGCCCCAGTCGTCAGTACACAGCCTCTCTCCCTCTCTGGGTCTAAAGTCCCCAGCTGCTCCATCTCTCCATGTCATTTGTGGTAGGTTTATAAGTGCCGTCGAGTCAGTTCTGACTCACAGCAACCCTGTATAGGGTTTCCTCTGAGAGAGAACTTTAAAGTTCCCCTCGGCTTATGCGTTCTCATCTGGAAAGGATAATACATCAAAGCAATTTTAGAAAACTTAAAAACCGATCACGCATGCAGTAAGGCTACAGCTCTGACACCTTTTTTGACTTTGAGCCATTCCATTCCACCTGGACGCCCGTGTGGTGGGTGCCAGCCAGGGAGGCTGCTAACCCTCTTACAATGTGTAGCAGTGCTTGCCTACAACAAAGTATCATGCCCAAAATGTCAATGGTATGGAGGCTGAGAAAGATTTGGCCTCTGCAATGCTCTGCTCCTGTCGTCAGAGGTGGGGAGATGTTCACAACTTTGACTATTCCTCCTCTTCCTCCCGACAGGCCCTCGTTCCTGTCTAGAACCATCCTTCCCACTCTCCTATCTAGTACCAATCACATGGTTCCTACTTGCCAGACAATTACTTTGACAACATTCCACATATTTTGGCTTAAAGACACTTAAAACTCTTGAGTTATTAAGTGCTCGAGTCAATTCTGACCTATCACTATAGGGATTTCTGAAGAGCGGCTGGCAAACTTGAACCGCCGACCTTGTGGTTCAAACCAACTTTGCAGTCCAACACAGACTTTATAAATGCAATTCAATTATGTTGATTAGGTTCTCTGAGACTGAACTTTAAAGGCTTATGGGAAACTTTATAGAGTTCTGTCTCATTTGGAAGGGAAAGGAGCTCTGGTAGCGTAGTGGTTACGAATCGGGCTGCGAACCGTAAGGTCAGTGGTTCAAAACTACCAGCCACTCTGCAGGAGAAAGATGAGGCTTTCTATTCCCGTAAAGATTTACACCCTCAGAAACCCTGTACAGGGTCGCTATGGGTCGGAACTGACTCGATGGCACTTAACAACAATATGTACAAAACAATTTGAGAAATCCGTTTTTAAAAAGTCATGTATGCAAGTTCTGAAAGTCTGGTTGGTGTTTATAAGGCTACAATTGATACTTGAAGGCATCTGTCTGTACAGACTTTTAAAAAATTTAACAATAGAAATGAATGTCTTAGCTAAAGAACTTGAGGAAATTGTGACAAAAGTATTCATCACAAAAGTGCATTGTTGATGTTAAATGCCATCGAGTCGATTCAGACTCATAGTCACCCTATATAGGGTTTCCAAAGAACAACTGGTGAGTCTGAACTGCCAACTTGGCGATTAGAACTGGTAAGCCCTCTTTGCTTACAACCTCTGCAGACCACAGGTTGTTAATGAGTCTCCTCCGATCCTGAAACCACACACTTCCTATAATCCAGCTCCTTGGATCTTTTGCTCAGCATACAGATGGAGTGTTACTAAGTGGTGTCAAGTTGGCTCCAACTCATTGTGACCCTGTATAGGCTTTCCCAGGAACAGCTGATGGATTTGAACCACCGACCTTGAGGTTGGCCTTCCAGTGGTGTGGAGTCCACACCAGGACTCCACACATTGAATAACGATACAAGTCTGACACCTTTTCTGATTTTGAACCATTCAGTAGCCCCTTGTCCTGTTTAAATGATGGCCTTTTGGTCAGTCAGTGTCCAGGTTCCACACGAGCAGTGAAATGTCCTACAGTACCCATTCTTGCAATGTTATCCATAGCTTGTCATGATCCACACAGTCGAATGCCTAGCATAGTCAATAAAGCTCAAGGAAACATCTTTCTGGTATTCTCTGCTTTCAGTCAAGACCCATCTGATACCAACAGTGATATCCCTCAGTAGCAAGACAATAATTAAAATATTGAAATTTAGTTGAAATCAATTTGATGGCAATGGATCAAGGGTTCTGTAATTAAAGTGGCACAAACCTCTTCCTGATGCTTTCTTGAAACGTAATCTCTGTGCTCTAAAGAGTTATCACTCGGGGATCAGCCTCTTAGTTGAATTCCTCTTATAGATGATTTTATTTTTTATAACATTTAATCTTCACAGTAACTTAAAATAATTTTGTATTGTGAGCTGAGTGAAGGTTTACAGGACAGATCATCAGTTTTACACTCAGCAAATTACACACTTCTCTCTGATGTGTGCAATGTGGGACTGATGATCTGTTCTGGAAACCTTCATGCAATTCACAGTAAAAAGTTAGAAAACAGTCAGACGCTTCATTTCATGTTGATTGCAACCCCCTCAAAGGACCATCATTTATCCCGCTTCCTCCCTGTGTTTCTTGTTCCCAGCCCTTCTGAATTGGGTTCCTGAGTAAAAGCCGCCCTTTTGATCTCGATTGATTTTCCATTCAGTGTTGTGTGAAACTGCTAGTGTTCTCCTCTGCTGACCTATGTACTTGACTGAAAATTGAATCACAGGCATGAGTTCAGTTCCAGACCGGAGGTTGACCAAGGTCCACAGTCTCTGGTTCCACTAGTCTATATGTGAGCAGTAAACCTGGTCTTTTATGATTTTGAGTGTATACATTATCCTATTCTACCTAGAATTTAAGGAGCTCTGGTAGCATAGTGGTTAGGAGTTGGGCTGCTAACCTCAAGGTCAGCAGTTTGAAACTACCAGTTGGCTCCATGGGAGAAAGATGAGGCTTTCTGCTCCCATAAAGATTTACAGCCTCGGAAACCCTGTGCAGGGTCACTATGAGTCAGACCGACTCCACGGCACATAACAACAATCCGCTCCAGGCTGCTCTATTTTAACTTTGTTGTTGTTGTTAAGTGCGATGGAATCAGTGCTGACCCATAGCGATCCTGTATAGAGTTTCTCAGGAGCAGCTGGTAAGCTTGAACTGTTGATCTTGCAAATCAAACCAACTGCAGCCGGTGCATTAACCCACAGTGCCACACCAGGACTCCAGGACTCAGGTTATAGCAGCCTTACTTAAATTGGTCAGTGAAAACAGAAAACAAAAAAAATGTTTTTTTAATGAAAACAGAAAAATGGGACAACTGAATAAACATCAAAATCAGTTACAGTGCTGCTACACTGGAGACTGATCATTGGCACAAAACAAAACGGGTACAAATCGTTGAGTGG